AGTTCACGATTTCATTAAGCATGAAGAATTGCAGATAGTTGTATTATAATAATGTTCTTTTTTTATGGTTCCGTACATCGAAAAAAAACTGAAACTTACATAGGAAAGTCATCATCATTTTATTTCCGTTCGTTCGTCTACTAAGGCTATTTTTCTGAAGAGTGACCAAGCTAAAACTAATATCAAATAGGTATTAAGGGATGAAAACTTCTTAGTCAACGCAATGAAAAGACACGGCCAATTAAGCTCTATTTATACCGCATGATTTATCGCTCTTAAGGGAATCAATATACAGGATGTAAAAAATCCTTTAACGAAGTCGAAGACCACGTATTTTCCACATCATGACGATATTTTTTTTCTTCTAACCATACCTGGGAAATTTCTGGTAATGGAGATATTGAAGGTCAAAGTCACAATTTTTTTTCAAGGTTTATACATTAATATTTTAATAACGTTATTTGGAAACTTTTTTATCGATGCACTTACACACAAGCACATTCTTTGCGTAGCGCCACAGTAGTCCGCCGCGCTATACATTGCAATAATAAAATACAATTGATTCCCACGTATAATATTTAGTAATATTACTTGTTTGGTTGTACAGAATGCGTAGTTTTAGTCTTTGTCATAGGTTTTTTTACATCCTGTATATTGATACGTAATTTGGCTAGATACAATGCCATTTATTGCAAACGACTAAATAAAGCGAAAGAAAACAATGCCCTTAGTATTTTGTACAAAAAGCAAGGTATGCAATTGATTGGCAAAAACATGATGAATGCAGACGGATATGTTCCAGTACTATTCTCAATATCAATGCAAATCTCTAGTCGAGCAGTCCATTCTGAAATGTGAGAGCATTACTAACAGAAACCTCGAACCCCTGTTGACCATAGGCCGTCGGTACTTCGTTCAAGTATCAATCACTTTCAGTACGGAACTAGGTAAGTACTTCAAAATAGTGACAAGTGAACCAAAGTCGCTTTGTTAGCTTAACCGAAGAGTCTATTTATAATATAATCATTAAAGTTTAGAACACAGTTACGTAGAATACAAAGTACTTATATCTAAAGGTTACACTCACATTATGTTTATTACATTAATCTTTACGATAAATAACCTAAGTTAATTCTGTCCTCCTTAAGAGATAGCAGTAAAAAGACAATAATTGATGTCACTTATTACAATATATGTTTAAGGTCACTAAGGGCTATTGTAGTAAGGGGGTAAATGTAGCTGTTTAAATAACTTGTTACTGTTACTTGTTATTGGCGAAATCTATTTATATGTAGGTCTTTAAAAGTTATATATAAACTCTACGGAGCCACAGATGTAACTTACTTAAAAATGAAACAGTAACGAGTTATTTAAAACAGCTACAATAGCCCCGAGTGACCTCATTCGTACCTTATAGTATGTTGAATACAAACTTAGTTTTTAGGGGACTGGTTAAGGAATCACTCAGGGAATGCTTTATTAGGCGACGGTTTAGTTACTGATAGTGAAAACGATAAGCTGCAATTGATCAGAACATGTAAAGTTTAAAAAGTTAATTGCTCTCACGTCAGAATCTGTTCGGCGTGCGAAATCTTGTCCTGAGCAGGACCGACAAAAACTTCCTGCTGGGGCTGTTTTTTCCACCCCCTGTTTTATTTGACACTGAAGCGTCAACTTGAAAAATGATTCTCGGTACTAACGAGCGGCAAAGTCACATTTCATTACAATTATTAAGATTAAATACAATGTTGTTCATTATCATTTTTCAAAGAATTCTTTTACCTTTAGTTTAGTAGCGTAAATTTAAAAACGACAACGCGTTAATTCAAGAAAGTTATGTTATGCTATATGTTTCACGTAAGGTATCGCAAGTTTTAATTTTATGTTCCACGATTGTTTTATTAATATGTTTAGGTGAATCCCTCCATCCCATATGTCGTTAAGTTTAAGTGGAGTCGAGTGCAACAGAGATAATTGTGTGCCGCATCAGACAAACCCAGTCAATTTACCGACCAAAGCCCTATTCTCCTAATCCATTTTTCCCGAAAACTCGTAACAGGAACAACACTATATATAATAAATTATTTAGATTTACGATGCTGTAAGATGAAAGATGTGAGAACATTAGAAAAAAAGTATATTCAGAGAAACGGCGGAATACAGTTAGGTAATGGGCTTGTCATACAATAAGTATATCTTTTGAAAATTTTAGTTAGATCATGGTTAGATTACCTAGAAATTTTAATATAAAAAAAACATGTAATGTCACTCGAGGTGGACACTTTCATACATATTCTACTCTCTAATGTTTCATTGCAAGTTTAGTGCGCAAAATTTCAGGCTCATTAAATCCTTGGTTCCAACTCATGAATCTTCCCTACGTAGTTCATGTAGCAAACCATTCGTTTAGATCGTAGAGTAGAAATTTATCACATACTTGGTTCAGCTGAAGCGTAAGTAACTAAATTTCTAGTTGAGATATTCCTGCGCCCGCCATGAGCATCAGCATTCGAAGAGTACAGTGTGCTACATTATGCTTGTATAAGTTGGCAAAATTCATTATGGTTAGTAGAGGCGGTATCAACGCCGATTTTAATTTTGACAATTGCGTTGGCCTTGTTTGTCTCCAAATGAAATTGCCAGGGAGATGATATTCGCGGCGCAAAGTCATCAACGCGTAATTCTCTTCATAAGGGTGCCTCGGAATAAATTAACGTCGTTAGGACGATGTGGAGCTTATTATGTGTATTTAAGTTTACACTTTTTTACATTTACTGAAAAAGATGCATTAGAAACGTTATTTCTTTAATAAAACATAATACTAATTACCAGCTATCTCTTTCGTTTACTGTTCCCAAGGAGCATCAGGTGAAGTTGTTAGATTAGGGGCTGTTACTGGAAATCTCCACTTTATCTAAAGCTTTCTAATTAAATTATAACTCGAAAAACAATTATACAAAAGTCGTTATCCACTTGAGATTGTATTCCCGAAATATTAATTGAAACGTCACGTTGATCTTCTTCGCAAATTTGTTGGGAAGAATTTATGACAAAAGTGATGGCATTTTGGGAAACACTTAATAGAAATCTTCATTATCGAGCGCTAATATATATAGTTACATAATTCTAATACTACTTTGAAATTAAGGTATTCCAGAATCGAATAAGACACCAATTTATTTGTTTTTTGACAATAGACGACTTAATTGAATGTAGCTTATTAGTAATAACCTATCTATATCTATAATATCTATAAGTAACGGTCGATTGCATTATAGTTTTTCTTTACAAAGATTGACATCAATAACCTTTGTATATTCAACAGACTATTACGTTCAAACAATGTTCAGACTTATAATTCGAGGTTTGTAATGTTCGCAGCTTCTACATAAGTAATAATTCAAAGTTGCTCTTATAAATTTAGGAGTAAAGCTAATGCCTGAGCAACTACGAACCGCCTTTATTAAATTTATATGTATACAGTGCACTGCTCGAATATTATACCAAAGGTGACTAACCCTGAGTTTGTTGATATAACTCAGGTTTAATTATGCATTTTATGAATAAATCCGTGGTCGAGTGGTTTGTACGCCGGGTTTTATGGTGTCGCCGACTGGAGAGGTTCCGGGTTCGAATCTCGGTGGGGCAGATGTTTGTGTGATGAATACGAGCATTTGTACTCCAGTCATAATATGGATGTTTAATATGTATTTCTATATAAATATACTTATATATGTACAGTATATGTATTCTATCTGTTACCCTAGTATCCCATAACACAAGCCTTACAGTGCTTACTTTGGGGCTAGGCTAATTGGTGCGAGTGTTGGAAATATTTAATATTATAATTATAATCTATGCATTCACGAATTAAAGTGAAAGTTAATTTGTGTATGAATATTAGCATGAAATATTTATTTTTCAATATTGAATCACCACAAAAAGGCTTTTGATTTGTTGACCACAGTTGTTATTATTTATTATTTGGCAAGACGAAATGGTGGAATAAAATATTTAAAAAATATTTTTTTAGGGTAGCTCTCCAACGTAACCTGGGGATGATTTTTTTTCATCATCTACCCCATCGTGTGGGATATCGTTAAATAGGTCATTTAAAATTACTTAGGGTTTTTTAAGACTATTTTTCGATTTATGGATCCGTTTGTGAAATAATTAACTTTAAAGTGCTAAGTTTTGTTAGAGTAGGGCTACCCCCCCCCCCCCCTATAAAGCTAAGGTATTGGCTTGGAAAACCAAGAAAAATCATGATAATAGTGATTTTTATGGACTTTTGAGGAAAACTATAACAGTTAAGATAGAATTGTTAGTTTAAGAGTAATAGTCATTCAACTCTAGTCAAAGAAAATTTCTTACTTATTGAAAAGTTCTTAGAAGAAAACATTAATAATGACATAGATGAAGTTATTGTACCGTAAAACCTTGCATTAAAAAAGAAAATCTATAATAACAATTTTAAAACTACAATAAAATATCATTAGTTCCACAACGCTACGATTTTGAGTTGGAGACTCAGTTCGACTTGGATTAAGCTATTTTAGTTGAAATACATAGATTGATATTAATTGGTTTATCTAATTTCCAATACAGAAAATAAAGATTCCTGCTCAAATATATTGTGGTAACTACAGGCAACTACGCAATCCTACATGGCGCGTGGCACAATACGCACTTGGCTAGTTTTAAATTGTGATTTTACTTTTACGTGAATCTATTTTTTTTCTCACCTTTCAATGTAAGTACTGCATGAACTAAATATTATTTTCTTTAAAAGATAGATAATACGCAGACAAAATTCTGGCAAGTAAGCGAACATAGCCTAGCGTCAAAATGCCCACAATACACACTATATTATCACGTAAGGAAGGATGCTGAGTTGTTCTTACATTTAGACGACGCGGTGGACGGTGAAGCGACAGACTGCTTATAATAAGAAGACCATGCAAAACTAAACTTATATCTAGTTTTATTGAAAAGGATATGGGTTGGTGATCAGCATAAGGCACCAGCTCCTCGGCCTAGTCTCTTGCGTCAGATACCGGAGGGCGACCGGCGTGAAGCCAGGGTACGGCAGGCCCTGCCCCGCCGTACTCTCCGTACTCAGCCCACCCTCGGAGTCCGAGTCTCCGGACTCGGAACATGCCCCGTCCGAGTCTGATCCCTCTCTGTACCCGTAGTAAGGCATCCTCTCACTCGACATCAACTTAAATTATAAGCTCATTATATCACTCGACTGTCTTATATGCTACTTAACCATTTTAACGGCTCAACTGTACAGATAGGTGTCGGTCTGTATTCGCAGCGAATGTGTCGACTGCTCACACGAACGGGTGGAAGATTGATGCATGATGGGAGATAGCACTGTTTTGTAATCTGGAACAAAGGAAAAACGTTTAGTCAGTAAAATTAATACGTATAATTCTCACAATGTAGTGTAAGAATACTAATATTATATTAGTAGTACGTATATAAAATGATTTTTTATTTTAATGACAAAATTTTAAATGGCACATAATTTTTAAATGATCATGAAAAAATACAATTGGTAATCTAACCTTTAGGTTACTAATGACGATGATTACTAGGTCAGTAAATCAACTCAAAATCAACAGTATATGATCTAATTAGCTTTTTAATGAATATACTTTTTAAATCATCGAAATCGGTTCATTCGTTGCGATTTTATAACTAATTCTAGGGTAACCAATATTCACCTCCGGCCGAAACGTGTGATGTCACAGAGCTCGATCGTGGTTCACTTCGATCGAATTTTATTAGCGTCTCTACGCACGCTCGCGCCCGAGTGCCTAGAGCACTATGATGTCACAGTCACCACGCAGCCACTCGAAAATTCGTTTAGTATTTGGTCATAACTTCGTCAATATTTGTCGTAGAACAAAAATTTAACTACTGTATTTTATGGAATCCTTAGCTCTATAATTCTGCATTGACGACTTAAATCGTTACGGATCCTTATTTTGTTATTTTCCGATTTAAAACGAAAAGTTGCAATTTACATTTTTTTCAGACTTCCTCTATATTATTGTTACGTAATAGGTATTAATTCATATCCTACCTATGGATATGAATTAATACCTAATAATTTACATTTATTTAAATGTAATAATTTACATTTAAATAATTTACATTAATTAAATGTAAATTATTAGGTATTGATTTATAAATGAATATGTAAAGTTTAAGAGAGTAATCGAGTCTCTAAGTTTTCTTAACATTAATATAAAATGGTACGAGAAAGAACAAAATTTATTAGGTTATTCTTGGGATTTTGTGTCTTGCTCTGCAAAATAAATGATGCTTTAATAAGGTATGTTGATGAATAATAATATATAGGTATTTCCTACACTCACGCCAATTAAAACACTGTAAGGCATGTGTTATGGCATACTAGGATAATGGATAGAATACATATATTGTACATATATTTATATAGAAATACATATATTAAACACCCATGACTGGAGTACAAATGCTCGCATTCATCACACAAACATCTGCCCCCACCGGGATTCGAACCCAGAACCTCTTGAGTCGGCGACACCATGAAACCCAGCGTGTAAACCACTCGGCCACGGAGGTTGTCGATGACGATGAAAGAATGACGTTTTTACACAGTGGTGTAGTGTGTAAGAGAGGTAGGGTATCATATGGTTTTCCGCCCAAATTAAAGCTCCCGCCAGGGGATTTCCAACAGTTTACTGAAGACCACAAATTAACTTAACACTACCTTTTGGTGGTGTTGTGTTTCAGTCGGTGAATAAAGTTCCAAGTCTCCATGGGGTAGGGGATTGGGTCAGGGTAGGCATCGGCGCAAGTGATATTTTTTGTATCGCAAGTGTCTATACGCTATTGTGGTCGCTTACCATCAGCTAGGCCATCATGCTTGCTAGCCACCCTTTTAAGAGAGAAAGAGAAAGAGAGAAAGAAAATGTGCTCACGCACTGCTTTCTCTTACTTATATCCCCCACTCAACTCCCGTTCGCCTCACCCGAACACACTTTTCGTAATGCGTAGCTTACCCCCCAAGTCAAGCGTGCGTAAAGAAGTTGAACTCCAAAAAGTGTACTGGAAAAGTAACGTGTTCGTACTGTTCGTGTGCGGTAACATAAATATTTTAAAATCTTGTTTTGGATATCTTCTATTCTATTTATATGCTTTATAAAGACATCATATCCCGGGTTCCAAATCCCTGAGCAATACCGATTTGAATACGACCAAAGCGATTCGAACGCCTTTGCTCGTTTTTGTTTGTCTTTTACCAATCTGATTTTGCATTTCTATGTGACTAGATCGATCGACATCTTACGTTATGGTTCAATTACACTTGGTCGTGGAATCGGACTATGTTAATCGGACAAACGACTTAATGTATATGAACGGAGTCGATATCACTCATATTCGTTTTTGTTCCCCCCAATCTGGCATCACTGAGGTATAAGTTGCGGCACGAAACTCAAGCGCTGACCGTTATTGCGCAGAAGTAAAAATTAAGATGTCTTAGGGGAAACGAGGTGCGCGGGTGAGCGTGCGTTGAGCCGATTGGCTCTCCAATCGTACCCATGCGCAGCTATCCCCTCCGCGTTTTGTTCAGCGCTACAGTTAGGTGCCGCGACCTGTACGTTCCAACTAGAACGCGGGTATAATAGTCGTTGCCCGTCTTCCAGTACCTGGACGTATTGAAAACAATTTAAATAGTACATCGGGTGACCGAATTCGAGTAATGTCTTTCGTGCACTCGAATACGGGGCTAAGGATGAAGAGTAAAAACGCTTCGTCTCGCTTTCTCGTGCCATCTGTCTGACTACGCCTTAATTTAACCAATTATTAAATAAGAATGAAACTAATATCGGTACTCTCGTCGGTATAGTATTGACATTATTTATTATTAAAATATTTATGTTACTTGTAAGAGTTTCGTTACCACGATATATTACAAAGTATAATTTCATAGATTTAGCAAAAGAAATGTTAGAATGGAAGTACATTTGAGTCATCTTTTCTCACTAGCTTAGTGATCGTGTGAAATATGGTGATTTCAATGTAAATCCAACACAATCGCCGCGTGATCCAATTTCTACCCGCGCAGCTTATAGCGGACCTAAGTAAGTGGCGAAATTGAAGCCAAAATACATTTTGCCTCAATAACTGTGCCACTTGTTCGTAAAGTTTTTGAAGGTTTTATTTGCTCACGTGGCGAAGCGCAAAATTTATACATACATAATGTTGGAAAGTAACGAGTTGAAATAACATATGTGACCTCAAGCAATTTCTGCTTTAACTTTGAATTGTGATGCGAGTTTGCTGGATTAATGGATTTATATTGACTTTCTGTCAGCAAATTGTACGATTAAAAAGAAAGAAGCAGTTTTTTTATTAACCATTAAAAACCACTTACAACAAGTTTTAATGTACATATAAAATTTTAAATCTAAGGGCTTACCATGACCCTACCTCAGTGGGTTCTCCCTATCTGGCAGAATATTGTTGCTCCGAAATTCATTTGGCATAACGCACTTGGTATAATTATTTTTCAACAAATATTTGTAAGGTATATTTTTTAAATAAGTATAATTTATTAATTGGCCTAATATCTATATGTTTGAATTCACAATATAGCATACTTTTAAGATGGCAGAATTTTATTAAGGAATTACCTTGGGCAAAATTTATAAAATTTTGGCATTTGTGGTCAGTGGGTTAGGTAAGGTTAGTGTTGTGACCTTATTTTAGCGCGAGCCAAGCTGGCGACGTGAGCGTGCCGCGGCTGCGGCCAGCGAAGCGCCAACCACCAAAGATAAAATATAAACGAATAAGGAAAAGTTCAATTCTTGTATGTCAAATGACGATTCTGACTGTAAACTTTCTGTGATATGATCTTTCTGCTTTTTAATTATTGTGGGTATTAAATTTATGCCTAAAGATGATTCTGGTTTACAAAATTATGCGTTTGAATGTCTCCTCAATGAGTGAATGCCAAATAATTTTCTGTGAAATGAAGTTTGTGCCATCCGCTGATATGCATAATAATATAAGTTCCGCGTTACAAGGGCCTCAGCTATAGCTGGTGTGACATTGTATCGCACTAGCACTGATATTCTGGCAGGACCTGGAGGCCAATCGCCTAACGGGATCGTTATGGCAATCGCTATCGTTTACGTTTTTAATCCGTAATTTACGTTGACACACCTTAGAGCATATAGTGACACACACACAAGTCTCACGCTCTTTTTTTTCTTTTGCATTTGTCATAACAATATTATAGAAAAAGAAATCGTAAGCGACATCAAAAGTCAAAGACACAAAAAGTATATTTACAAGGACGAAACAAGACTGTAATAGTTTGGGTTATATAAAGAGATTACCAACGCCCTATTATTGATTTCATAATATCCATTAAGAATATTTAATTTGAATGTTAAAAATAGAAACTATTTTGATGCTTATATTATTAACAATAAGACTACCTAACGGATTCAAATTTAAACGTCACTGAAATCTCTTCTGGATCGATTCAAAGTTACATATAAATTTCCTATAATCCGTTAAGGTGTTGTCTTTGTATTCATGTCTTAATTTTATATAAACCAAAGTGCTTGGCAAACCAAAGCTAGTGTTAAGGGTAGGTAGTTTTACGTAATTAGAAATGAAAGAGATTTGAAATCGGTCCGTGGGGCTTGTCAGGGTTCACAAGAGAAAGGACACTGCCACCTTAATTACATTAAAGTTGTCTTTGCGGCTTAGCGTGGGTAGGATTATTCGGTTATCTGTAGCACTCGGGCCTAATTTCTGATCAGGTCAATGTACTTTTCTATGTTATCTTGGGTCGATGTGGGTACCGTCATTGCTTTTGATTGCTACAACAAAGTAGCTGTAAGTAGTTTCTTCGGAGCCAGAGCCAAGAAATTCTCCGTCCGTCCATATTTACCAATACTTTACTAGCGGCAGCCCGCGACTTCGTCCGCGTTAACTTTTGCTTTTTGAGAATTTTCGGGATAAAAGCTTAAATTAAAACAAAAAGGGAAGTTACGGCACACGCGGCTCAAAAGTGATCCGCTTAAATTGTGGTGCATGACCACAATTTGCTTTAGTCACAATTGGATATTCAAACTCGCTTCATGTGCACTGAATGTTATATTCAATATTGTGTATATTCTGTGTTATAAAGATAAAACAATGCTTTAGATGCTTTTTATTATCACTAAGCGCATTCTACCGACTATACCACGGCGAGTGTTCTGAGGAGTTATTCTCCCATATCCCTCCATCACTTTTTCTTCAGAGGACCACGCGCGCTGGCCTACGTTGCCACCGACTTACTGTGGCCACTTTTCCTACACGAACAAAGAAACTTG